CGTAGAGTACTCTACTGGTAGTACTTGAGTATTTTCGAAGAAAACATACATTTGTGGCAAGAATGATAGAAGAATTTTCTGGATCGCGCATTTGTGGTATCTGAATAAAACTAAGGACAGGAATGTAGTGGTGCGATTAAGAGAGCGACGAGCAAAACGTACTTTCAACTAAAATGCTGATATACATACCTAAGTATATATGTATGTATGTGCATAGATACGTATGTGCATAGATACGTATGTGCATAGATACGTATGTGCATAGATACATATATATGTAAGTGTCCGCATATATTTTTTCTTGTCACTTGTTCTGTCGCTTCACTGCAGCAAAACCAAGTTGTGGGGAAAACCCTGACGATATGCGTACAATTGAAACCATGGGTTTGATGATAGCGCAAATTGATGTGAAAGTTTCAATTTCATATTAAATATATTTATGTATGCACGTACATATGTACATATGTAAAAATGTAGTTTCGATTTAAAAAAAATCGGATAAACCTTTTCTTTCGCCATTCATACACCTCTAATTTTAGTATTTATTAAAAAAACTCAATGAAATTCAAAAACTCTATCTTGCATTTGGTTTTACTCAATACCAATTTGAGCTGTCGCAGTGTTATCACAAAAAAAAAAATGTTATCAATAGGTAGGTTCAGAAGGCGCAGCAGTTGAGCGCAACCGTTGCTAAACAAAAATCAGTGATCGTTATGCGTCTTTTGAACGACTTCATACATTAGCTGTCAAATTCAACTCTCAAAGGTACACACCAACATGTTGTCTCAAATGATCAGAAAAATATTACGATCATCTAACACGCAACTATTCAGTTGATCAGAAGCACAATATAACCAGTAAACAACCTTCGGTGAATTTGGCGACTGCCTTCCTCGGGGATGAATATGCTAGGGATGAAATTATTGGTACACACGCCTTCCAAGCACGCAGGGTTGCTTTTAAGAAGCAAAAATAATTAACTCCAAATGGTTTCAAAAAGTATAGTGCAAAACGAGTAGAGTACAATGCAAGGAGTACTTATTGAACGAAATGCGGCAAATACACTTGCGCTGGACTCTAATATATACGTATTTCAATTTTTATCAATGCGTGTATATGTGTATGCGTCAGCTAAGTCTAAATCAATCGCACTCTGATAAGATAAGCGCTGATAGGGAGCACGTACCATGTTTACGAATGCGAATTCAAATTATGTTGTCTCATGCTAGTATTTTGTTTGATATGCCTTTCAGATCAAGAGCGCCGATTTGCTATTTTAAGTATATGTATGTAGCTATTAGGCTATGCCGATGTTGTATAAGTGAAATTAAAAGTTATTTGATAAGAAACAAATAACAATTTCCTACAAAAGACTAAGTCATCTCTTGAGCCAGCGTTGTTGTTGCTTCAAAGCGTGGGAACTCTAAAAAACATCGTATATATTAAATCTGTGCAATAAATTGCATCGAAATAGTAAGTCCAGCCGTTTAAACATGAAAGAGCAACACCCATATTACAACACACTCATTCACAAACTTTCATCTTTACATATAATAATATAATATAGGGTGATACAATCATGATGCAGATCTTTGACAGCAAATATTTGTAATGTGTTAATGTTTTTTTCTATTTATTATTTTTAATTTTGTTCACACAATTGGTACTACAGGCATTGGCAAACTTAGTCATGCAGCGATATTTAGTTGAACAATGCGGAAAAGTGATCCAAACATTAATGCCGGCTACCCAAAAAAAAAACACATCTTGAGCTATGAGGCATATTTTCAGCTAAACGGATACGTTAAAAAGCAAAACTGCATCCACTGAAAGAAAAAACTATCCTCCCACAATGAGGCACAGTTTGGTTTTGCTCTTGGGCTGGTGGAGTCATGCCATTAAAGTTNAAAGCAAAACTGCATCCACTGAAAGAAAAAACTATCCTCCCACAATGAGGCACAGTTTGGTTTTGCTCTTGGGCTGGTGGAGTCATGCCATTAAAGTTAGTAGTATGGCAATTTTAAAA